GGGGGGGGCAAGTGGGGCAATTTGCCCCGGGCCCCGCAGGGGCCCCCACGAGAATATAGTATTCTATAGTATTGCAACTTTTTTTTATGGAAGGGGCCCCCAAAATTGCTTTGCCCCAGGCCCCCTGAATCCTCTGGGCGGCCCTGAGACAGAGGCTTAAGATCCACTGGCTAGAAGCTTGTCACCACTATTGATCCATGGTGGTGGAATGGATTTGGCCCAGAACTGAAAGGCTCTATATCCAGTTACTAACGATGAGAACCATCTACTTACCCTGTGCTGTATGCTCACTCAATATTGCAACATGCTGTGTGGAAGAGTATCTTTGCCATCCCTCCCCCATTCTTTTAGAACACACACATTCTTCTGCAAGAAGCCAAAACCAGAGAATTCAACCAACTTTAATGAATTGCAAACACAAACATACTGTGTCATAGTATGAGTTATTTTGTTTCTGGATCCTTTAGTTATATATACCAAGAGTGCCATCCAGTAGCAGAGACTCCACCATTTCTGCATCTCTCCTGTTCTCCATTTAATATGGCTCACTATACATATCCCATGGGTAAATGGGACCTGGCTGGTCCCAAGTTTCCAAAACAAGCTCCAGTTCCACTGAAGTAACAGGTCCGTTAAGAAGAGGCTGTAGTCCCATCAGGTTACTAGTTTCAATAAGTCCAAATGCGTCCTTTGCTACAGCTCACTAGGCCCTCTAAATAACTCTTCTCCAGAAAAGATCCATGCTGTAAGTGAAATTCCTCCTAGACACAAGGGCCCCTTTTAAATCTCCCTTATTGAGCTTCAGCTGTGTGCTCTTCCCTACACGATTGAGATCTTGGACAAGAGTGGTAAGGCTTTTATCTCCCTTTGCATGGAGATGATTAATCCTTTTCTGACTGGAGAGTCAGACTACATACACTTCGTCACACTCACAATATGTGTGTGATTCATAAAGACATTAGTGGAAGTTCTCAGCTCTTGTTGAAAAGTGAATAAATCATAAAGGGGCTTTTTATTTGTTAAAAAAAAAAAAAAACAACCTTCCAAGCAGGTTACTATATGCAGGAAAGTACCTCCTTGAAAGAGAATTTGTCCTTCCAAAGCTTCATCAATTGACATGAAAATGATCCTTTTTCTATTTAAATTAATTTATTACTATTCACTTTTTCAGGATACAATCTAGTAAAAATTCATATCACAAATTCCAAAAGGTGGCTCATGCATAATGTGTGAAAAGAAAGTAAAAAGCAAAACCTAATGAATTAGAAAAGAATTCCAGTTTGCCCATACTTACTTTGTGGATGTAGCCCGACAGTAATGTAATAATGTACCGAAACTGAGAATAATTTGAAAGAAGTGCAAGGATTGGATGAGCAAGGATTTCCTTATTTCATTTCTTGATTTCAAATGCACTTGATAATTTGAAACATCGTCACTGCCATTTCCTGTACCACTTTCCTATCAAAGTATTGTTCTCAAAGACAGGGGTTCTCAAACTGGGCGGGGGACCCCCTCGGGGGTCATGAGGTTATTACATGGGGAGTTGTGAGCTGTCAGCCTCCCTCCCAAACCTTTCTTTGTCTCCAGCATTTATAATGGTGTTAAATATATAAAAAAATGTTTTTATGTTATATAGAGGGTCACACTCAGAGGCTTGCTATGTGAAAGGGGTCACCGATACAAAAGTTTGAGAACCACTGTTCTAAGGGTTTTATAGAAACATAAGGAAACAGGAATTGCCATATTAGATCAGAAGAGTGGTCCATCTAGTCCAGAATCCTGTCTCTGACAGTGGCCAAAACCAGATATTTCAAAGGAAGTGCAAGAAACCCCAGAGAGGGTGTCCCTGATCCATCAAAACACTAAGGCACATGCATGATCTCATGCACATGAGTACCCACATGCTTCAAGTTATGTATCTGTTTAAGTGCTTTGCTGGATCATACCAGATCAGTAATGTGGCTGTTTGGGGGTTAGGGAGGGTTGTTTGAACTGCGGTTTTTCTAAATGGAGTTAACTCAAATGCCAATGCTAATAATTTATGTGTCTACATTAACCATCTCACTGCTGATCAAAGCACCTAAGAAAGCAAAAGAAGGATCACAGCTCTAAGTAATCTACTGTATGTGGCATCCCATTTTGATGCTGCAAGTAGATGGTATCTGGGAGATAGCATTTCCCCCCCCAATTCAATCCCTGTCTATAAGTGTTAAGCATTTTTGTTGGTATAGTAGTAGGACATTATCCAGCCATTATTTTGTACCTAACACTCCCAAAGTTTGTAATGAAAATTTTGATGAAAACCGCAGTTCAAACAACCCTCCCTCACCCCCAAACAGCCACATTACTGATCTGGTATGATCCAGCCCAATTCAAACCCTATATATAATGTCTTATCTCTCTCTCTCTCTCTCTCTCTCTCTCAAATATTGCACAAGAATTAAGTTACTGATCAATCTGTACTAATTAATAAACTTTTTTTTGGTGGGAGGGGAGTGCATATTTTCTTAATGTCTTGACCATGAAACAGTATCATCTACTTGAAACAGCCATTGATTAAAAATGATTATTTTAAGTATATTTTACATATCTTGTAAATGACTTATGTATGATTTAACAGAACCATATAGTTAACAAATTAAAATTTAATGTGAAAAAAGACAATACACAACCCCCCCCAAAAAGCAGACGCAACTAGAAATGCTGGAGTTTCTTTTTCCAAATGTACGGCGTTTTCCAGGATCTCAATTTCAAGATTTTGTATTGCAGATGTCAATTTAACATAATTAACGCTGATATAGCACCAGGTTTGTGTGGGATGAAATACGTTTGAATACAAATGAGTGGCATATCTCGTACTAAGATGTGAGAGGTAGTTCAAGAGGATGTGTCTCCACTTCTGACCTCATTTCATGTTCTAAATTATACTTTCTCTTAAGTGGTTAGTTGGAAGTTTATTCATGATCCCAGAGACTTAGTGTAAAGAACAAAATCACAAACTTTTCCAGGGTCAAGTTGACCAAAATATGGCATATCTATTGTATTTTCTAAAAAAGAGGTGAACATGTCTCTACCAAAGTCTAAATTTATATATCCAAGTAAGTAGTTAGGTATGCACACCCCCTTTTTAAATGTACAAATACCCATTTGTATGAACAAATGCTGTTTTTTTCGGGAGAAAACTCATGTGCATCTATATTGCGTAGGTACCCCTTTAGTGGCCTCTTTAAAGCCAAGTATTCAAAGTGTTTTGGTCCTTTGCACAACTGTTTCCACAAAAGTGAATGTAACTTTTTTCTTAGACACCCTTCACAATGCAGCTGAGAATTCCTGCTCCCCCGTAGATGGGGTGTATGTGGAACTAACTCGGTCAGGTGCCTCAGCATAGAGAAATGGGCAATATTTACATAAACGGATTGCAATGTGGCTTCGGAAAAAGGTATAAAGATATTTCCTAAACTTTTCACCAGCGAAGGCATAGATCACGGGGTTGATACAACAGTGGATCATTGCAATCGCTTCTGTCACTTGGATTGCTATCTCCAGCTGACTGCTGCCCTCACAGTTATTTAGGGAAAATGAATCTTGAAAAGTGTATATGAGAATAACGATGTTGTATGGTGCCCAGAAAAGAAAATAAACAATCATTATGATAAAAATAAGCCTGACTGCCTTATGTTTTTTCTCATTCCTACATCTCAGTAATGTTTTTATTATCTCGGCATAGCAAAAGATCATAATGACCAGTGGAATGACAAGTCCCAGGATGTTCATCTTTAAAGTCTGGAATTGCTTCCATTTACTTTCCTGTCCCAATGGATAATGAGGGCTACATGTAAAATGAAATGACTCTCTTTTAGCTTTGTGAAATATAAATCCTGGAAGAGAGGCTAATATTGCAACACCCCAAGTGACAACACTTGTGAGGATGCCATAGGTAACTGTCCTAGCCTTTAAAGCAAACACTGCATGGACAATGGCCAGATATCTATCTATTGTCAAAAGTATTATGAAAAAAATTCCACTATAGAAGCCAGCAAAATAGACCCCTGAAAGAATTTTACACATTGCATTTCCAAAATCCCATTCATGTGCTACGTAGTAAGCCCAAAATGGCAGGGAAAGAATAAAAAGCAAATCGGAAATTGCCAGATTCAGCAGATAGATGTCAGTCATGCTTCTCAGCTTCTTGTATTTTATCAGGATCAGCACAACTAGCGCATTTCCCACCAGGCCAAATATCAGCACCAAAGAATAAAGCGTTGGCAGAAACAGGGATGCAAATTTTTTGACATCAGCTTTTTGGCATGGTTCTGAGCCAGTATAATAATCATAGGTTGTCATGTCAGTTTCTTCAGACATCTTCTTCTGTCCTGGATGAAGAAAAAGATGGTAGAAACTAAAGAGATGGACTAAAACTCAGACAAAGATTGGAATTTTACCACAAACAATAATTTTGGTGGCTTGTGGTGACCCCCATATTTCAGCTGCCTAACACTTCCTATTATAAAAGATTATTGCAATCTTTTTTTTTTTTTTTTTTTTGAGAAGCTCTGAGATTTCCATTATTTGCACTAGGCCTTTGAAATGCAGTGGGGAGAAAGCCTTAGGGCTAGAGAAGTGCCTTTTCTTTTTCCCCATGAAATTCTGTTTAGGGTTTGCTGTGTTATGACATAAAAATACAAAAGTGTCACAGCCCACTGTTACTGAAAATTGCCTGCTTTCTCATGTTTACAATATAATTATAAAATGAATCAATTGGAATATAAATATTGTACTTATTTTTCAGTGTATAGTATATAGAACAGAATAAACAAGTAATTGTCCGTATGAAATTTCAATTTGTACTTACTTCGCTAGTGCATTTTATGTAGCCTGTTATGAAACTAGGCAAATATCTAGATGAGTTGATGTACCCTCTGGAAGACCTCTGCATCTCCCCGGGGTACACATACACCTGGTTAAGAACAACTGTCCTAAAGCACCAAGCTTACACTGCTGCCTAAGCAGCAGCAGCAGCCACTGCACTGGTAGTGCGTAGGAGCTGTTAGAACAGCTGTGGTGCAGCAGGAGAGAGAGTCAGGTCAGCTACCCACTAACCACCCACCCAGACCTACCATGTGGCCACAGCAACCTGTTCCCCCCAGCTTCCACCTGGAAGAACTACATGGGACAGAAATTCCCCTACCTCTTGGGAGGATGTGGGCAAAGATGCAGTCCAGGCTCCCCTGAGCCACTCTTTAGATGCAGGTGTTCACATACACATGTGTTGTGCCCTCAGATGATAGCTTTCTCCTGCTGGTAGTTACTGTAGCTCAAATGGTAGATAACTGTATGCCTATGCCAAAGTTTAAGAATTCAAACCCTGCTGAATACACATGAAAGAAGGATTGTTAGAGTTGTACATAACTGAATTTGTTTTATCTGTTTCCTTCTAAAATGAAAAATACATAAAACACTAAGTTGTTAGAAAATTATTTAGGTTGCAAAGTCAAGTACTCAAAAGTTAGGAAATGCCAGATTTATTGTTGCCTGTGGCACCTTAATTCTGTCCACTTGTGCACATACATTGTGTTACAGTATTTAATTACATGATCCCCATGCATTTTCCCCACAGGACCTTTTCCACAGTCAGTGCACAAGATGGATGCACAAGGAGGCAAAATTAAAGTTGCATAGGCACCCATAATGCAGATGTTTCCTATATTTTGATTTTGCAACCTAAATAACATTCTTTTAGCCTTGTTTGTATGTAAACAACATTTGTAGGAAGAGACATTCAGTCTGGTCAGTCTCATCTTTTTATTTCCTTGACAGTAAATAGTACATGATTATACCTGTATCATATAAATATGTAAAATATAATGTTGACCAGACTTATGAAAATACTCTGACTTAGTTGAAAACCTTAAATATTGCTGATTGATGACTGCAAGTCTACAGATGCATGAACTATACACGCTTGTGGGTCAGATCTTTAGGTGGTGAAAGTTCACCTAACTTCATTGAAGTCAATGGAGCTATACCAATTTATGTCAACTGAGGATCTGACCCTTAATGTACAGTATTATATGTTATTTTTATCTAGATGGAGATATCTTGCAGTAAAGGGTTAAAATTATTACTGGCCCATTCAGAAGCAAGCTGATCTTAAAAAGCAGATAACTGAGAGAGCTGATCAGAATTTAAGGTGTCATTGTCTTTAAGAGAAAGGGTTGCTTTTCAATGAAATAGTTGCCTTTTTTTAGTTGCTGTGTCTCAGGGACTCTTGTTGCCAACTGGCAGAGGGTACAGGGGATACTCAGTTTTCCAGGGATCCCCTGCATCAGATATATGCATAATAATTCCCCCAACAATCAGTGGCACTGGAACACTTTTAATAGTGGGAGTGCTGAAAGCAGTTTTTACTTTTTACCTCATGCCCCCCTTACGTCAGTGCACGTCCCTCCCACCCCTCCAGAGCTGGGGCCAGGAGCAGAGCTGTGTCTCTGGGAGAGGGGGGAACTCAGATGGGGTAAGGAGGCCAAGGCTGGGGCCATAGCTGGGGATGGGCGCGATGCCAGGAGCGGAGCCCTGGGAGCAGAGCCCTGGGAGCAGGGGGGTCGGGCATGGGGCTGGGAGTGGAGCCCTGGGAACGGGACGCAGGGCCAGGAGTGGGACCCTGGGCACGGGTCCAGTGGCTGGGGAGAGGGGTGCAGGGCCGGCGCCCCAGAGCAGAGCTCCAGTGCACAGCTGGGAGTGGGGCCCTGGGTGCAGGGCCAGGCATAGAGCCCCAGGTGTGGGTATCACAGGCCCAAGGGCATGGGGCCAGCAGCCTGGGAGCAGGTCCCGTGGCCGGGACCTAAGTCCTGAGTGCAGGGCCAGCGAGCGGGGCACTGGGTGTGGGGCCGGGAGCAGGGCCCCTGGCATGGAGCCCTAGGCATGGGGCCAGCAGCTGGGGACTGGGGCTGGCGGCCGGGACCCCACATAAAACCTGGAGGGGGCTGCAGCACCCCTGCATCCCTAGTTTCTGCGCCTATACCAACATGTGAGGTCTCTACTGAGAGCCAGTAGCCCACTGGTCATCATAATAATTGCAAAATGTATGTACAGATAATATTTAAGAACACTATGTAACTATACTAAAATTCTTAAGGATTTGGTATTAGGGATTAGGATTTGGGATTAGGGTGGGTCACCAGGAGGTGACATACCTCAGGAATATTCCTTTCAATCAGGAGGTAACAGATGCTTATTTCTCTATCTGGTCATGGGTGTACTGGGCATTGTAGGCCTCTCAACAGATGCCTGTTGGCCTACTGAACCAAATGCTAGTCAAGAGATTGTGAAATCTTCAAGAGAGAAAATGTACAGGAAGAAATAAATAGCAGCAGAGGATCATCTGTATGAGAAAAGACAATGGATTGGTAGGGTACATCTGGAGATGCAGACGTACACTGGAATCTTTCCCTGAGGAGGCAAGGTGACAGCATGACTTGTCTCATGAATGGACAATCACAGTCAAGCCTGGCTGTAAAAGACTGGAAGGACTTTGGGTGAGCATTGCTGATAAGACAGGAGAGTATCTAGATATGTAAGTCTAGGTTCTAGAATACGTGTTGTGATTTTATTTTATTTGTAACCATGTGTTTCCAAAACTTCCACTTGCTATTATTTGACTCTCTATACTTTGTTAAATAAACTTTTACGTGTTTTCACTATAAACATCTCTAAGTGCTGTATGTTCAATGGAGTGATGATGAGAGGTGTAACTGGTAAGCTGGAGTGATTGTTTTTTTGGAAACGGCAAATCTGTGAGTGTCCAGTGGAACAGAGGTAAACACTCCAGGGAGATGCTTGGAGGGCTCAGGGGTTGGAGTATGCCAATCTCTAACCTGGAGTGAGAGAGAAGAGCCTGCATAAGACTAGAGGGGAGTGCTTGTGTTGTCCGTGGCCAATGGAGTGAGGGAACTGACCAATGGCAGGCACAGAAAAGCCTTCCTTATGCCTGGGGAAGTGCCTCATGATCCTGGGTACCCCGGGAAGTGTCACAGTTCCTTCAAATCAGTTTTCTTTTTTGCATTGTCAAATAACTATAGATATAGGGGCACCAACCCAATATGCCCCATCTGCATAATTCCCTTAAACACATGGTCGAAGTATGGCCAAGTGTAAGAATAGTAACAAACTATGTGGCATTTGAAGTGCTGGGAGCAGAGTTAACAGCAGGGAGTTAGGCTATGTACAATCTACAGCTTAAGTTGGTATAAGTTATGTTGCTCAGGGTTTGAATGATCCATCCCCCTCAGTGATGTAAGTTACACCAACCTAAGCACCAGAGTGGACAGCGCTATGTTGACAGGAGAGCTTCTCCCACCGACACAGCGACCGCCGCTCGGGAGGGCTGGAGTAATTAAGTCAATGGGAGAGCTCCCTCCCATTGGTTTAGAACAGGGGTTCTCAACTTTTTTCTTTCCGATGCTTCCCAAACATGCTATAAAAATAACACGGCCCACCTGTGCCACAATAACTAGTTTTCTGCATATAAAAGCCAGGGTGGTGTTAGGGGGTAGCAAGCAGGACAATTGCCTGGGGCCCCACACCACAGGGACCCCCATGAAGCTACATTGCTCAGGCTTCAGCTTCAACCCCGGGTGACAGGGCTCAGGGACCTGGGCTACAGCCCCAGGCAGTGGGACTTCAGCTTTCTACCCTGGGCCCCAGCAAGTCTAATGCTGGCCCTGCTTGGAGGCCCCCCTGAAACTGCTTGAGGCCCCTAGGGGGCCCCAGACCCCTGATTGAGAACTAGTGGTTTAGAGCATCTGCACTAGCAGTGCTACAGTGATGCAGCTGCTCTGGTGTAAGCTCTGTAGTGTAGCCATTGCCTTAGAACAGTGGTTTTCAAACTTTTTTTCTGGGGATCCAGTTGAAGAAAATTGTTGATGCCTGCGACCCAACGGAGCTGGGAATAAGGGGTTTGGGGTGTGGGTGGGGCTCAGGGTTGGGGCAGGGGGTTGGGGTGCGGGGGTGAGGTCTGAGGGGTGGGGCTGGGAATGAGGGGTTCAGGGTGTGGGAGGGGGCTCTGGGCTGGGGCAGGGGGTTGGGGTGCAGGAGAGGGTCAGGGCTCAGGGGTTTGGGGTGCAGGAAGGGGTTCCAGGTTTGGGGGGGACTCAGGGCTGGGGCAGGGGATTGGGGTGCAAGAGGGGGTCAGGGCTCTGGGCTGGGGCTGGAGAAGAGGGGTTTGGGGTGCAGGAGGGGCTCTGGGTTGGGGGGACTCAGGGCTGGGGCAGGGGGTTGGGGTGCAGGAGGGGGTCAGGGCTCTGGGCTGGGGGTGCAGGCTCTGGGGTGGGGCCGGGAATGAGGTGTTTGGGATGCAGGAAGGG